GGGGCTAAGAGACAGCTATTATTTTGTTTTCCAAGAAAAACGAGTGAAGCCCTCATTTTCTCCTATTGGATTGAATCAAGCAAAAGGACTTTTATAAAGAACCCATTATGCATTGGGTCGTGTTTTTGGTTTTCTGTTTGTTTTGCCCTCCTGCCGGAACACTGAGTACTCCCAAAGTTGCCTATTAAACTTAAAAAGTTGCCTATTTATATTAAACTTACAGTCTAAATGGAATTTGGGTCAATTTACAATAAAAAGTGTAAGCAAATGAAAACTGCAAACCAGTTATAAAAATAAAAAGGCCAGAAAAAAGTCATAAGGGAATGAAGGAAGGCAGGTTTAGTTTTAGAAAAACTAAACCCAGAACAGTGATGAGGGCGGGTCATAAAATTAAGCTCTGAGATTCCTAGCAGATAAAGCAAAGAGGGCAACTGGATGGTTCTCTAGTTCTCATTATCTGAAAAAGAAAACATGTATCATAAAGTGATGTATTTTGTTTCCCCAGCCCCAGGTGAAATCTGCTGAACGGGTCTGTGTTGATGGGTGATGTCTTTGTTAGCAGTTATATGTAAACCAAAGGCATGATCCTGGACCTCTTCTTTCTCCATAGCCTTGAGTGAGGACAAAGGGGAGAGGAAGTAAAAAATAAAAATAAAGAGAGGTAAGGGAAGAAGAAAGAAAAGCAGATAACAAAGCATATGCCCAGGCAATGTGAGATGCAGAGAGCTGCTTCAGGCCTGAGTTCCCATGCGGAAACTCATGGGAACTGTTTCGGCTGGGGGGACCCTGCCATGTCCCGCCGCTATCTGTACGTAGCTGCTGTGCTGCAGGTGGAGGGATGGTGATGGTCCAGATGCACCTGTGACCCCTAGTCATATCTCGGTCACCCTGAGATTATGTCACATACATGGAGGCAACATAGAGTGTACAGAGAACATTGGAACTCAGCTGTCCTGAATTCCAGTTCTGTATGGGACTCTCCAGGACAGATGACTTACCTTGGCTGAGCCTGAGCTCCTGGGTGGTGAAATGGAGCCTGCAGGCACGGGGACAAATCAACTCACGTCAGCCCCTGCTGGAGTTCCAGCAGAGGTGCCCCAGCACGTTCTAGTTCTCATCCCCCTCACCCCTCAGCCTCATCCTCCACGGGGGTAATGGGATTTGCCTGATCAAAGGCCACTTCAGTCCTGGCTCCTGAAAGAGGGCCCCAGGCCTGGTCACCAGCCCTGGGTGATCACCTCCACTGGTGTCCTTCTGTTCCCCACCCACAGCACTATAATGACAGGAGGAAACTGCCCGCTGAGTTCTTCTGGGCAAATGCTCCCCTGAGCTGGCCTGAGGCGTTCCTTAAAGAAAAGGAAGTGAATCGGGAGCTGTGGCTGGAACCAGGCACATACCTCATCGTGCCCTGTGCATCCGAGGCCCACCAGGAGTCGGAGTTTCTCCTCAGACTCTTCTCCAGGAAGCACATCTTGTAGTAAGGACTCAGGTTGGGGCCTGCGAGGGCCATTGCAGGCAAAGAGGACAAGGCTGGGGATGGTGAATGGGGAGTCTCTGCTGCTAGGATGAGAGAGAGATAAGGAAAGCTGGGGACCACGGTGGCTCTCTATTTAGAGGCCATCCCTTTCCACTCTCCTTCCACCAACCCTGGAAGAGAACGGGATGAGAGCCATGCTTAAATGTCAGAGATAAAAGGATAGAGCAGACATAGCCCATGCCCTTGTAAAGTTGAAGATGTGGTAAGGACACAGACATATAGGCCGTCGTGGATATTGCAATATATTGAGTATAAACATTTCTATGTCCAGAGGCTAGAGGAGTATCAGAGAAAGGTATGTGAGCTGAACTCCACAGTCCTGGGGGAGCAGGGATGGCTTCAGGGAGGGGTGACTCCTGAGACAGGCACAGGGCTTGTTCAGATAAAGGGTGGTTGTCATTCATTAGCTGACTCAGCTGCCACTAGTATGCAGTTGAATCTACATAGATTCATCCCAACCCAACTTACTATTTTGCCTGGGATTGATTTAATGTGCTGGCCTTTCAATAGCAGGTGCTTTGTTTTGGTTTGTTTTTTATGTCGTGGCCATAATAGTTTGAGTTGATCTCAGGCCTCACTGCCAGACCAGACCACTGAGTTTTGAACTCTAAGTAGGGGTAGTTAGAGGAGGTTAGGGGAGTCAGGAGAGGGGAACTATGCCCTGTGGCTGGACTGGACACTTCCAGGAGACGTGGGAGGTGAGAGATGTGAGCCCAGTAGGACTGCATGGCACTCCAGCTGTAGAACTTGGAAGATGAGCTCCCCAGGAGGGTCAATATTGGTTCAGAGGTTCCCAAGATGATTCCCCAGAAGAAACTCTCTGTCTTTTTCTTTCCTCAGTGAACTTGGCAACGATTCCAGGGTGGTCTACTCCAAGGTGAGAGGTCTGGTTGGAAGTCCACACGACGGGGCCTATTTCAGTGTCAGGGTGGTGGGCACCTCTCATCCTGGTAAAGGGCCAGCAAATATCTGTGTACCCTGCTTCCCTGCTCTATGGCAAAGGTACGTGTCATCTGTTGTGCTCTCAAAGTGCCCTTGTCAGCTGTTTTTGTACCAGGAAAGTATAGATAATTGTCCTTCTGGTTGGGTTCTCATCATCCAGGGCCCAGCGCTCCAGGGGCATGGGAGATACCTATACTTGCTCTGCTTCTGCTTCTCTCTCCCTGGTGTTTCCTTGGCTCATTTTGCTATTTGTTACTTCCCCCAGCATCAGGGAGAACCAGAGAAACAGAGATGTTTGTGAATGCTGTGTTGCAAAATTTAAGACAATGCAAGGTCAATTTCAGAGGCCTGGGAGCCCTGAGGCAATAACGTTTGCAGGAGAGTCTATTTAGACAGCTCTTTTTGTTTTTCTGTTCCTACAGGAAATAGTAGAACAAAATGAAGAGCAGAATGAATTCTTCACCAAATTCTTTGCCAAGGTT